AGATGTATTAACATATAGAAGATATCAAAATAAGATGGTTGTTTTATTCATTTTACTGTGTAGTTAAAAATAAAAAAAACAAAAAGATGTATTTTCTTTTAAGTAACTTGTAGATATAGAAAATATTTTTTTGTAATAATTTTGAATAGATTCAATATGGACACAATATCCATTTACTGTAGGTATAATGAATAATTTTACAATGAAATAATTAATGAGCTTACAACACATTCACCAATGCATTTTCTTAAACAACTAACATGAATATTAAAAATATTATACCAAAAAGGAATGAAATAATTATTGTTATCTATTCCTATTCGTTAACAAATATAATACAATGAGTGGCAGGTACCAATTTACTTTTCTTGAGAACTAAAATTTAACCTTTAATGGCATAGTTAATAGATAATATATTTTCATACTCTCTACAAAACTAAATCAATTTAATTGAATAACTGAGATAGAACCCCAGACAAATTGAAATATTGGGGACATTATGTCCATGGATATAAATCCGATAGCGTATATTTTGATTAGGTTACAGAGATTTGGATCTAACCGATTCCAGAGCAGTCAATAGATGACCATCAGATGCAAAGCAAAACAAGAGGTGTTGACATTACCTATCTAGAATTCAGTTCAGGGAGGGGTGAGGATACGTACCTCTCCTTTTTTAAATTTATATTTGTGAACCCCTATATTCAGGAAGGCACTTTTTTAAAACTTTTGCATTCCCTTTCTATTTTTTTTTCCAATTCAAGCAGTTCCTATGTTGCATTTGGTCATTTACATTTTTACAAGTGTAAAACACTGTACCTGAACGTCTTCGTTCTTCAATTCATCTATGAGCACAGCGATCGGATACAGCGATGTGTCTTCGGGCGCGGGCTCACCGGATGGCAATGTAGTCGCAGCCATTTGTCGTCTGTACAGTAATTGCAAATTGTTGATCCGTCAACAGAACCAATTTATATTTAATTGTACTTTCGAATGGCTTAAATTAAAAAACTAATAAAAATTCACCGTACGCGAGAATCAAAACAAACGGGATACTCGGGAGACGTCCATTTTGATTAAATCTTTTCATGGAATGACATCGCCTTCTGCTGAGTTCTGGTTCCCCTGGTTGAGGTTATTTGTCATGGTGGAAACGGTGACGGACTTGATTTCTCGATGAATGCGGTGGGGGTGAAGGATCAATAACAATAAACAGCCGCGCAAGGCGTCAACTTACTAGCAATAATTGGCAAGGCTGCTATCACAGACTATTCTTATCTATGTCCATTACTCAAATATCAAACCGATGATCTTTGAGAGCAGAGGACTAGAGATTCGATCTCACATTCTCACCAGCGGCCGTCAGAAACTTAGAAAATATCACCAGTTACCACTCATGGTCAGTTTATATATTTATAATTCCGAAGTCTCAAACGACTCAAACTCGATAGTCAAAACTTGAAAGTCAATACTCCATACTCATTTTACCAAGATATATTAAGTCATGATTCGTGCTCAATACTGAACTATACAAATTAAATACTTATTGGTAAATATTCTAGTCAATACCATATTTCTATGATATTACCTACCGTTGGTAAATATTTTATATAATTAAATAACTGAATAACTTACGGTATACTAGTATTAAAAAATACTTGTTAGTTGTCATTTGATAATAATATTAATCTATACTCATAAATAATTTACCTACAACCTACAAGTGCATGGAGTTAATTATATCGGCTTGTGATGTTGCTTGACTTCTCTAACTTGTAGAATTTGTATTTGCTAACACGTGTGTAAAGACAATACCAAATTGCAATATTAGGTAGGTCAGGTTTTAAATATGCTGTTAGGATTTTGTTTAGAAACTATTTATAAAATTGAATACTATTAGCATTATTTTGAGACAATAGCAAAGGATAGAAGAATACTAATAATAAATATGTATTATGATACAATACTTTTTGTTTTTTGAAATGTTTTAATTTCAATTTAATTAATATATAATGTAGTCTGTTGTAGGGTAGGAATGGTCAAGTTACCTGATTAGTTGTAAGTTGTATTGTTAAAATTGTTTACCCAGTAATACAAGATACTATGGAAATTTGTAACTGGTTACTATAGTTACAGTGAAAACTTTACAAATCTTGGTATTTCTTTAATTTGTTTGTATGATGGGTTAATTCACAAGAAAAATGTATTATGTAAGATACTTTGTAATCAAAATAAAACATATGTTAATAACTAATATGTCTTTATGGTTAGGTAATATTAATAAATGCAATACATAAACACCAAATGATGAACAATAACTCATGTTGTTATTATTTTGACTTAAAATATGAATAAGGTAGGAGCTGCCTAATTTACTGACAGACAGTGCACTTATACAGTTATAGACCAATACCTATCATACATTGTTTTTATTGTAAAATAAGAAATGGAGGTTATAATACCAATTATAATTTAGATTAATAATATTTATCTTTGTAATATTAATAATAATTAATATAAAGATTGAAGATTTTTTTTGTTTTTATATACAGTCAACTGAAATGCACATTGTGGAGTTGCAGTGGAATTGTCTGAAATCATATAAATCCTATAATTTGGTTAAACCTAGTAATATATTTTTATTTTTCCAGAACTCAAATCTTCCTCAGGCCTCTATAAGAATGGTTTGCCAAACATTTTGGTATTCTCGTGGAAACAGTCATCCTAAACAATAATAATAATAATAATCTCTCAGCAAAATTCCCCAAAAATTGTATAATCATTCAGATTGTTTAATTTTTCTAGAACCCAAGCCCCCATACTGTCCCTTTATTGAAATACTTATTTGTATCTTGTTCCAATGTCTATTTGAATTGAAATAATTTTGGTATCGACTTGTTAACAGCTTACAGATACACCTATATAGTGGAATTGTCTAAAAATGATATGCCTTATCAGTGCTGTGGCTAGATGAGGGGTCTTTTAACCCCCTCCTAAAATATAAGACTTACTGTACCCGGTGATACCCTAGCCCTGCCCCCCCCCCCCCAAAAAAAAAAAATCCTGGCTACAGTATTGAGTCTTGTACATTACTGTACTTTTTTTTTGAAGCCCAAGGCCTAACACACTTCTTGTACTATATTACCATATGTATATTTTACTATCCATCTGAGAACACATTTCCAGGGATTATAATCTGCTCGTCTATGTAAATAAACTGTTTGCAATGCACTTTTCAAACTACACGTTTCTCAATAATTGTATAGGCATCATTTTTTTTTTTTAATTTATATTCAAATATTTATTACAAATGTTATGCAATATTTTACTTATTTTAATTATAACACTATCAGTAACAAATTTAACATTTTTTTGTCAACCTTTGCAGTGAAATTGCTTTTAGTTTAAATTCTTTTACTCGTCATTAATTCAAATTAATCTATTTTAATTGTTCAACAATCTTGTGAAGACCCAACCAGTTTCTTACCCTACCTTTTGGAAAAATGTTGAAGTACTTATTCTTAAAACGTATCATTTTTAATAAAGAAACCAGTGATCTTTTAATTATTTATAAAAACTCATACGTACATTGCATATTTGTGTACCAAAATTGTAGATAGTCTTAGTGGTGTTTAGTAAATATTTAAAATTATAAATTTTTATATCAGCTTTCTATAGTGGTATGTATATTGCATACATACAGTTTTTATTTTATGATATCTTGAATATTGCAATAATTGAACACTTGTGCTTTAGATTCTGATGAATTTATTGATTTTACAATGATGTGTGACCTTTTAGACCCCCTCCCCTCCTTTAATCCAGAGCAATTTGCTCTAAGTGAGTGCTAGAAGCGGCTACAGTAAACTATAAGGTTCCAGAAGATTGTACTTCCCCCATACTAGCATCTTCTTAGGATAACCACCAAAGAATCAAGTTTCAATAAACGATAATGCTCCTTGTGGGAAGTAGTGATAATACAGTCTCCCCCACAAATTAGCAGTTCATAGGAAGATAAGGAATATATATTATACTGTTAGATTTTAGAACAGTTTTAAATTGTAAATTAATTTGTTTCTTTATAAATATCTGTCTAATTTTTTATAACTAAGTAGTACAAAATTATGACAAAAAAAAACTAAAGTATTCCTGTCGTATGCAGTCCATCACACATGCTTCTACATGTCATATGCGATCTATCACATAGTTTTTATAGTTAAAATAGTGGAACTTAAGTTGAATTATAGATTTAATGATACACAATAATTATAATAATTCAATAATGCACGTCACAATCTCTAAAACAATTAAAAAGAAAAAAAATTATTTTATACAACATGTAAATATGTTTAGGTATATGTATTAAAAATCAAAAAATACATCATTTTTATAATTTACTTTACAATTTAATTGTACATCTCTGAAAAAAACATTCAAACATATTGTCTGCATTGTTTTTTTAGACACCACTATTATTCCGCTAAATACGAGGGCATCAATGATGTACCATGCATTTTTTTTACTATTCGAAGTTTTAAACCTCCCCATAAACTTACTATGCGTTGTTTGTGCTCAACACTGGAAGGATCGACAACAAATTGATAGTGGTTTACGGTTTTATGTATATTTCCTCTAGTGTCTAATGACTTATTATATGCTAGCCATTCATCCGAGTGTATTTCTGTACCAATTTCAATTTCGTTTTGAATTATTCTTTGTAATATCTGCCTGTCTCTTTTTTCTATGACAAAGTATCTTGCCTCAATAACACTTCTTTTGCTTGTTTTTTACATATACCAAACACCCATGGACCAGTTTTTTTTAAATATAATTTCGATTACGAAAGTTCCTCTTCGTCGCTCACCTTGTTCATATCCACATTTTCAGTAGCAATATCAGCTCTTAATAATCATCATCTGTTGTACTTTCTTTTACCACGCATTAAAGATTCATCGACTTGAACAATAGTATTTGGAATTTTGTACCCTCCATTTTCCTTCTTTTTTTCGAAAACAGCTACTAGTATGATGTGACATAAATTTGTCCAGTCATACACTGCGTGACTTCCTCGACCCGTTAAATTTAGTATGGTATTTTTTCGTACATCAAGACACCAATAATATGCTAAATTGTTAATTTTATAATTTCTGACAGCGATAAACCACTATTACATAGTCCATTTTTATCTTTATACGTGAAAATAATCTTACCTTTACTGATGGATTGAGTTCTTTAACAATCTTTTTTAGTACATCGTATCACAGTTTGATCTTTTCCCCATTCTTTAGGCGAGCCACAGTTTACACCAGGAGAAGTATCAATTTCAATAAGTCCCATTTCCTTTAAAAAAAAGCTATTTTATTCTCCTTCGATTGAGTAATTAGTAATTACATTGAAATGTTTGGCTAACATAATGTTTAAACATCGGAACAACGTATCACATAGGTATTGCATCACATAGCACAAACTAAACTGATTATCTCATACGTTTACGACCACAGTCACGAATAATCAGAATTATTGGTGGACCCAGGTTTTAATATATAATATCATATTATTGATATAGGAGTTACATCGTTAAGATAAAGCTTAATCGTAAACAAATAGTCGAATCGTTGAGAATGATCATAGGTAGACAATATGTATGTGATAAACCGCATATAATTTTAGAAACATGTGGTAGATGGCAAGTGTACGGTAGACCGCATTCTACAAGAATACCAAAACAAATACTTATATTAAATAACGAAATCAGCTTCCAATACTAAATTAATTTTTTTTTACTGTAATAGTTATAACAATAATTTACCTAAAAACAAATGATTTAATTTGTGTTTTAAATTAAGTATACTGAGGGCTGAGCAATATCTAAGAAACAAGTATAACTAGATATATTTTTGGATTTTAACTAGACTCATTTTAGGTTTATGACACCTCTAGTATAATTCAATTATGGTTAGTAGTTACATAATAATTATAAATTTTGAATAAGAATAGAGAATTTTAATACATTTAATAAAACTTATTAAAAAATGTCAATTATATTCTATCCTTTTTAGACCTCTCCGGTATCTTAAGTTTGTAGGTAAATATCTTTCATTTAGATACTAAAAATAAATATATCTTGTATACTTTTTTAGGAAATCTTGCCCAACCCTGTTTGTGCTTAATATGTTTTCTAATAATATTTTGTATTTCATAACAAATAGATTAATAAAAATAATATATATATCAACAATTTTAATAATGAAAGAGATTATTTTATCTTGGTCAGTTTGATGTCAGGTAATGATTCTGGTCGTAAAATCAATTGTGCGCTTATTTTGATGTCATCTTGAGTTCCTAACGTTTCAATTTTCATCTTTCTAATGACAGTCGATATTATAGTTTTCATTTGATGCATGGCAAATTTTTGTCCTAAAAAAAATAATTCGTAATATTAAAAAAAAAGTTATTATTCTATATAAAAATATATAATTACCAATACAATTTCTTGGACCAGCACTAAATGGTATAAAGGCATAAGGATGTCTATTGATACTATTTTCCGGTAAAAATCTATCGGGATCAAATTTCAAAGGGTTTGGGAAATGTTTTTCCTCGCGATGAAGTAAATATGGTACTATTACAATCACTGCCCGTGTTGGAATTTCATACTCCCCTTGAAATTTAAGTAAATTATTTAAATACAGTAAATGATAATTGAGAACATTTTGTCAACGAATCATATATGTATTAATTATTATACAACTTACTTATATGAAGATTTTGTCTAAGCATTCTGGTAACACTAGGAACACTTGGGTATAGTCTTATAGTTTCCTTTATTACTCGATCTAAATACGTCATAGATTTAAGATCTGCCATAGTAGCTTCTCTATCACTATCTCCAAATATTGAATATAATTCTTCTCTTGCAGCGTCCTACAGTACACATTAATTGCACACAACATCATTAAAAATTCATTAAGCTAGGCTTGCAGAGTATTAACAAATTTACTTGGATATCTTGATTCAATCCTAATTGTATGAAAGCCATAGTCATGGCAGTTGACGATGTGTCATGTCCCTCAAACAGAAAAGTATCTACTTCTTCCCTGATATCTAAATCTGTCATTTTGTCTGGATTTTGTTTCGATATTCCAATTAGAAGATCAAGAAATGATTCTACTCGTTTTTTCCCTGTAATTCAACTCTCGGATATAAAATGATATAAACGTCACTATACTTTGACTTATGAATTGAATAGGTATTACTAATAACTAATAATATACATTTTAATATCTATAGAGACTTCAAATCAAAGTAATGAACTTAATTGGTGTATTTATAATAAAATTAAAAAATAAATATATTTTTTAACTTCACACTTACAAGTTAGAACAGTCAAACAAATAACAAATATGACATATTAATATGAAAAACTAATAAGCTATAAACGTATAGCTTTTAACCCACAGAGATGCATTACCTATCTAAAAATAAATCCATTATTCACACTCCTGCCAAGTTTTGGATACCAGTCAATATTTCTCTATTAAAGCCCTATCCCTAGTGTATTGTCAAACATGTACTTTTGAGTAGGTATTAATTGCTGGAGCGTCCCTACCCCTTAGAATCATTTTTAAGAAGGTGTAAGAAAACTAAAAGTCATACCTTAAGTTCATACCTCATACCTATCATAAAGGTTATCGTTGAATTCATATTTGACACATACTTAACAGTGATTTACTCAATCACTTGACACCTTCTATACATCAGAGTGGTTACTTACGTACTCCCCCTTTTTTTGATTTTATACACAATGCATATTCATAAATTGTATCATTGCCGATAATGTAATTATAAATACCAATACATATAAAAAAATCAAGGCGCAATTCCGAAAAGGGATCCTCTTATCGCACTCTAGTTCCCCTCAAATACCCCACTGTACTCAGACCCCTTATTTTATATAATAATTAGGTATCGAACTAAAAGCGTACCCACCCACAAATTAATGTGACTAACCCTCACACCACCCTCACCACCAAACCCAATTCATAAAGGCACATGAATTATTTGTAAATAAATTATAAACGAGTACCTATCATAAGCGGTCCCTTCATAAAATAAGCTATTCAGGCCGTCACTTGCTGACTGATGGTGGTTGGTAGGTACCAGGTATATTTAATTTATACGATTTTTATCAACTTAATTATTATATTTTATGAGTAATGTTAGGTATATAGGATCATATCAGTAAATTACCAAAACTTAATTCTTCAGTTTCTAAACAATTGACAAATTCAAGTTTAGCTCGCTTTTCTTTAATCACCTAAAATTAAAAATATGTTGGTTAAAAATGGCAGGTGTATAAAAACATAATTTGTTATCAACAATTATTATTTAATTGATTTATTATAACACGTTGTTTTTTATTTTTACTTACATTTTCAGTAAATGTGTGTAAAATCTTAAGAGATTTATAAAAATCTCTTCCATTTTGACTCAGATTAAAAATTCTTTCATTCCACAACCAAAATTTGAAAATTCGTTTAATTGTAATATCAGTTACACTGAGAAAATAAATTAAATATATTTAGTATACTAAAAATATTGATAGATACCAACATATTTTTTCAAATTACTATGTAAAAATCATACATACGTATTAATTGCTTCGACATATTCCAGAGATTTACCCTCTTGGGATCGCAATTCAGTTCCCATCATTGTGTCTGTAACATAATAGTTTTATAGCATACTAGCATTTAAGTATAATCGATACCAATATTAAAATAATCAAAATGCGATGCTCATTTTGAAGAATGTATTTTACATTGTTATTATAGCGATAGCCGTGTATAAGTAACAATGAACTCACCACAAACAAGATCTAATGCACAAAGTGTCATATAATTATAAATAGACACATTTTGATTGTTTCTCGCCATATTTTCAAGTTTTTTTGTTAAGCATTGAGCATGTTTATTAAACGTAGAAATGTACGTTTCCAATATTTTAAAGTGAAATGTATATGTTAGCAATTTCCTTCGCGTTTGCCATTTTTGACCTTTTTTATGCACATAGATAAGAATATATATTAATTAGGTATAAGCAAGTTATATACAAGTGTTATGAGTATTAAGATTTTATTTTTTAATTACTTCCACTTGTTAAAAGACCTTTATTTAACCAAGGCTTGAGCAATCCATATTCTGGTCCTTTGTTTATATGTTGTGGACTGGATAATAAAACCTGCAAATATTTACGTGGGTACATCATTATTTGATTCATTTTATATAAATTATACTACAATAACCCAACGCTTTGAAGTTTAAATTACAACTAACACATTTTGATATTTGTGTAGGTTTATAATAAAATAAAATATATAAGAATATGATAATATGATAATAATTTAATAACAGTAAAATTCTTAAGTGTTGATAATAATAAAAATAAAAAAGTAAATAAATACTTTTATGTCGTCGGGATCGTTTAACAATACGTATGAGTGACCAAATAATTGAATATGAACCAACGATCCATGTTGCTTTAAAATACTATCAATAAACGGCAAAACATCTGAAAAAAAATCCTGTGCATAAATATAAAAACAATAATGTTGTTCAAGGGTGGATTTACTGGCAAGGTGTGGCAGGTTTTTTTTATAAATTATTAACGTCACCAAATAAAACAAGAAATATCAAATTAATTGGCCATTTTATCAAATAAACACGAATTAACAACCTCGTACAATTTTGATGAAGTGGTTGATAGTTTTATGAGGAATAAATCAAGATGCGAGCTTCTTTAAGATTCTATTACGAGCATGTTGCAATATCTCACTGTTGTATACTTAATAATAAACATATTATTTTATTGATTGAGTACCTAATAATGATATTGTTTTATAAATCTGTAACTGTGTATTATTATTTATTATACTATTAGTAACTGTTTTAACATGCATCAGTTATAAAGACAAAATGTAGAGCGTTTGGGCCGTTTGGGTGGCAAATCTCTAGACATCAAGGTATAGTATTTATAACAAATACTTGAAGTCGTGGAAAATAATAGAACTTTGATAACCTTCACTATTTAGCCGGAGCAAACCAAATCAGTGCGGTTGTTGTGCGAAAACGGATTAATTAAATGATTTGCGTTAATATAGAAAAAAATGAAAAAAATGAAATTCTTAATAACTATTATCTATGTATATAATTATGATATGTAAACTGTAAATATCACCAAGAAGTGAAAACTCCACTATTCTATATAGGTAATGACGACTGACTAAATGTACCTGTATAATATGCAACTTCCCGTTTTAATTTAGAATTGCCCATATTGGTCAGAACTATACCCGTTAGCGCAAGATCTTTAGTATTAAAAATACGAATACGAAGTACAAACATAGCACTTAGGTAGCACACATATTTTATGACCACAGAAACAGAATAAATAAATTTAATTTATGTATCGTCGCTGATCTTTATAAAAAAAAACTCTTAATTATTGTTATCTTAACCATTGCAGCATTGCCTCGCGCGCATGAATAAGCGGGCGCACACGAATTGCGTACCAAAACAGGTAAACGAATCTTTTTGAACGAATTGCATCCCGGGCGCAATTCATGTTACCTTTTTATCTATAGTTGAATGGTTCCTAAAGTGATATTGAAATAATTAAGATATGTCAGGTTATATAAAAAATTTAAAAAATGAAATCATAATATCATATGTATAAATCATTAGTCATAATCATGTTAATTTAATTTTTCTATATTTATATTATATCGTTGACAGAATTCAAACTTCAGATTTCAGAATTCAAAAATATTTATAAATGATAACAATTAAAATAGTAGATACCTTTTAGATACGAGTATATTTGGCTTTACCTAACTATGCCATAATAATTTATATTTTACAAAATATATTGATTCCGAAACCGGCAGTATTTTATTAGTTTAAACTCCTCTGTCGTAGATAGAATCTACCTCTACAACCAAAAATATTTTATATCTTAATAGGCCTAAACTGTTATTGCGTGTTCTATTAATTTATAATTATTAATTCTAATGTTTACTCCTGCTACTTAAGAGTGGTTATGCACTTATAAATTATAATAGGTACATGTTTAAATGTGTATTGATAAAATAATCAAACCAGCTATTGTTACAACTTATAATTTACAGGAAGTATAAAAAAACTCAAAATATGTGACTGTAATAATTAATCATTAGATACTAATAAATTATAACATCTTTTGTACAAAAAAAAATTTTATTTTAAACGATATTCAAGTAGGTAAGCAAGGTCAATATTAAATTATTATTCTCATGTGATCGCATTGATTTTCATTGCAAATATTATAATTATTTATTTACATACCTAAATGTAAATAACAATATTATAATAATATAATTAGGTATATTATAAACCTATGGTTGAAATTTTAAAAAGGAATTTTTAAGGCACCTCTGAAAATATAGTAAATACTAATATAGAAGTAAAATTAAATTTTAAATAATAATAAGCACCTTTTAAGTTTTAATAAATAATGTAAATACCAAAAAAAAAAAATTTATTTTAAAATTTATATGTTCATACCATATTGGTAACTATAATAATAAAAATAATATATAATAATATAATAATAAAATAACAATAATATATATAAAAAAAACACAAAGTATGATCTGTAGTTGTCTCCGTATTCAGTGTTTTTAGTAAATACAAATAAAAATAAATATTGTTTTCCTGTTACCAAATGTTTATTGGTGGCCCGGTGTGGTGCCGTGGTTATATTCAGTCACGAAACGTGTTCTGAGTGCAAGCATCGGCCAGTGACACTTGTTTTCGGATGGGTGACCACCCAGGTTTTTAGTGATAAATCCTCGCCATACACACACGTGTTCCAAAACCAAAAACAAGCGCTTTGTCGTCTCCGTTTTACAAGTGAGTAACATTACAAATTTACGCTGAGCAGATTGCGTTTCGCTTGGTTCAAAAATTTGAATGAATCCACCTATTATGAAACTTAATGGAAAGAACATTATCTGTGTTTTATGTGAGTTTTATTAGGTTAAATTTTTGACAAGTTTCGCGTATATAATAAAGTGCAAATTGAAAATGCTCATTACTCACTTATATACCGAATTATCGTAAAAAAAACCCATTCAAACATAATAACTCTCTTTCCAGTAAATTTCATATAATAGGTTTCCGATTATTTTTAAACTGATGAAGCTAAACGAAAACTGCTGAGCGTAAATTCGCTATGTTACGCACTTGTAAGACGGAGACAACAAATGTGTGCATAGTGTCCTTTTAACATTTGCTATATGTTTGGTGGTAGAAGCGGCCGTAATCTTCGAATATGTAATGAGGAAAAACCCTGACTTCTGTATATATAATATTATAAAATGTACTAAGATAACGAAAAGTATGTTTTTATATTTTTTCTTATTGGATGACCATATAGATAGATAGATACAATCAGGGCTAAAAATCTGGGGGATACGTCCCTTACCAAAGCTTTTCATCCCTCATCAAAGCTACTAACTTCAAATAACCCGTGAATCCACCCTCACTACCGACATGCCATAATTTATTTTCGATTATAGATGAAAAGAAGAATTTTAATGTTCGAGCTTTTGACAATGTGTATTTTTTTCATAGGTATGTGTCTCGGACTGACAGTGTATCGCGATGAACCAAATACGTCTATCATAGAAATGTTCTATCCAAAATTGTTTACAGAGATCATTATATTTGATAGGTTGAACAAATTTTTGCCAAAATTATTGCATTTAACTTGAGGTCTGACATACCGTAGAACAGTGTTCGAATAGGTTCGTGGTGTAAATAACTTAGAAATAATATTTTGAAATTCAAATGTCTACAAAAAATAATTGTTCAGAATAATATGTATTTTCAATAATTTTTGTCTACTGTAAAAGTAACCAAGTATTGTTTTTAATTTTCAGTTGTTAAAATCAGGATCTAAGATTAAATATTATTTTAAACTAATACACTAATCATTTCTTGCAGAATCTAAAGATCATAGTATTCGAATGAAATAAATTATTACTTATATGTACCCACAAAGTATATTAAAAAAAATATTATACGATTGAAGGACTTGGGTTGGTGAAATGTGTAAAGGTTTCTACTGTATAGTGAAAAAGAGAAAGTTTAAAAAAAATTTCAAAATTGCTTAGTTTTAACACTTAGTGTTGAGTGCAGAACAATCATCTGCTATATTGAATCAATTGTAAAAAAATTCTACCAGACTGCAATGCAACCACATTGAATCGAAATTTAAGTAAATGCTTTTAAAGCAATAAAATTACATAATAACTATAAATAATAATATTATGTTTATAACGTTTTTTACACTATACACGCCGGTAAGTATATACGCAGTATATAATAATATACATATAGGTACTACGCAGAGAAGTGGTGACATGTAATGACTTACTAAAAGCGCTAAAACTATAGTGGATAAACATTGGGTACAATAAACACGTCATGTCACACATATTAAATTTATTGTTTATCATGTAGGAACAAAAATGTTTACATGAATTATTAATAAATTAAAACCATATTAAATTATAAGTTGTAACTGAATACTATTAAAGAAAAATGATGCTGAACAAAGATTTGTATCACCTAATGACTGAAATAAATTAAGATATTGACCAAGACCTGTAATAATGGTTCTTCGAGCATTTAACTCAAAAGTTATGGGTAAGTAGTGAGGAAAAGATGAATTTGTATAATATTCGACACAATTAGTGTTTAAATGAGTATACAAATTGATAAAACAATAAATGTTAAGTATTTCCATAAGCTGAACTTGGTAAATTGCCTGATTATAACATCGTTCTAAAAAAAAATTGCACTACTGTACAGTAGATTTCGAGTGTAATGGTTTACTGATGTCTTAAATTTAAATTCAATGATACCCAAATAATTATTGTGGGCACACGAAAAACGATTCTTCGGAAATGGTTTGTCTGCCTCCATTTCTGTATAATGTGTATAATGTTATATTAGTAGAAGTAATTTATTTTTCTAATAGTGCCTAGCGCACTGAAAAATAAATGTTGTTACGGGGAAACAAAATACGAAGAATGTGACCACGAAAAGTGGTTGCTATAGGGACAAAAATAATATTTTAGGTGGAATAATTAATAATTGTTGTTAAAATGTAAACTATAATTTTTTTAACATCATCTCTAGTTATCAAAATGTCAGAGTATAACTATGATCAGTTCTAATTACAAACCGTTTGTATGTATATCACTGCAGTATATCAGCAATGAATAAAATATTGATAATACATTCAAAATATACTCAGTACCCGTAAGATTATAGTATGAGTAATAGAATAATTATGATGTTATAGATAGGTACTGATATCATTATAGATACCAAACATATTAGTTGCGAATGTGATATGCTTGTTAGTAATAAAATTTATTTACCATACTTTTAACAGTTCTTTTAATGTTCCTAATATTATTAAACATTAAAGTAGAATGATCAAAATTAATTTTTTTTTTTATTCAAAGGCAATAAGTTACTCATAAATACATGGGTATTCCAAATTATCTATATAGTTAAAAAATATTAATTATTTTTATGTTGCTCAATTACAAGTCCATAATAACATGGTTAATATAACGTATGTATATTTTTTTTTTCGTAAAATATTTCCGGCTTGTGGGAGAACTATCTTCACTATAAATTTGTATTTATTATGTGGTTATTGCTTTAAACTATATTATCATAATAATAAACATATCATATTTATAATAGATAATAATATATTTACTACACTTATAAATGTATTATTTAAAAATTAAATGTTTTTCGAGATTTTTAGACCACTACAAGTGTATTATCAAACACCAGTTATTTTGCAAACGCCCAAGTATTCAGTTTCATCATATTTCGAACTTCAAATTTCGATTAAAAAAAATTGTGCCTTATGTGCATATTTTTGATAATTTTAAATTGCTGTAAAAAACTGATGAGGCGCCTTGTATAACATTTTCAATATTTTTGACTATATAAGAAATAAACATTGTTTCAATAAAAAAAAATTAAAACTCAAAGATTTTAAGATGTCGATAAATATTTCAAAAAGTATCTAATCATCTACTCATAATTCATATATATTTCAATATTTCAAGACTAGCTACCTAATACATTCAATGTAGCCAATATATAATTTTAAGAGAAAATATTATAAATTTAGATTATATACAGACATATATATATATATATATAACTGTTGAAATCATAATAATTTATAGGTATTGTTTTTAATAAAAATATATTATATTTATCTATGATTCGTGGGTCTAAGACAACGGACTCGGTGAACATTATATATCATATACGTATAGGAAAAACATTGTTTAAAATAACGTTAGTCTTTTCATACCTATACATTAATATTGAAATGTGAAATCAGTTATAAGTATTTAGTACTTACTTACTAGAATCAAATATTAATTATTATATATATTAAAAACACATTATTGAATCCATAATCGTATTATAAAATAATAAAATCAATACGTTAGGTAAACATTGAGTTTGGTTCGAGTAATTTGTAGCAAATTATCATAAAATATTTTAGGAAAAATGTTTTTTTGAATACCTTTGGAACAACCTACTACCAAGTCTATAGTAGGTACCTAATACCTATGACATTAATACATATGACATTGTAAGCAATTATATACTAAGACCAAAAGTAATGGACTATATAATTTATTTGTGTGATTAAAAAATGAAAATAATGAGTTTACCCCCCCCCCCTCCTCTCTTTTTAATCAAAAAAAATGAGCCTTCGCGAGATTCATTGCAGATTTAAAACATCGAAATTATTTTGTATAGAAAATATGCATGAAAATTGAAAGGATGGTTTATTAATTATTAATGAACATAAACATGGCATAATCAAAAACAAAATATTCAGATTTTTTTAAGAAAAATTATTCTTTATGTCAAAGGCGCATTAGATGTTTCGCGAATATTGCGTCCTTTGCATGCTTTCTGCGCTTTCTACTAGTCGCCACGCCAGCAGCCGGTCCACCTGTCGCATTAGATGTCTTACATATAGAAAAGATGTCAATATTAAAAATATAAATAGAGGTACGATTACAAGTTTAACGGTTCTCAAGTAATTTTAAATACAGAAATTATGTTTTATTTTAAACATATGTATACATTTTCAAATATTTATGAATTATGAGTAAGATGCAAATTAAATGTGAATGAAACCCTCACCTAGGAAAAAAATCGTATCTACACCACTGACACACGACTATTTTTATCTATCGATAGGTATGTTTTTAAATAAAAAATAATTTAAAATAAGTACTTAAGATAAACCAACATTAAATTGTAAAAAATGACTTAAAATACATTTTGTAAATAACCAACCTTTAGGCTTAAGTGAAGATAGCTTATGAGAAAATTTAAAATCAGTCAACCATCCTCGTGGCATCGATGGTAATTTTGCACACATGCGGTAATGTTCCTTAGATTTCCGAGAACAGAAACACGTTGTAAATATAAAAATTAAAATTAAAAAAATTAACAATACACTCAGTATCAAAAATATTGTCATGATGTTCGTAAGATAACAACGAAATAAAAAATGTTTAAAATAAAATTTGACCAGCAAATCCAACTTGTAGTAGGTGGAACACTGTTAGGTAAACTACGTCCAAATAGGCTGAGAGCGTTATAGTAATTGAAATGGTTTACTATTCCGAATGTCTCTTAAAATAATAATTATTATAAGGAAGTGTTATTAGTGGCGGGGATTATTGGTTCATTATAAAAACAAACATTAAGAAAATATAATATAACCATCCGGTCACCACGCACCTTGCTGTATTGATATCTCGTACAATCGTAGGTATTGCACACTCCACAAATTTTGATAATCTGTGCATAAATATTCAGGACGTGGAACGGGTAATAAAGTATTTTGTTGAGAATAACATCACATTTTTTATAAGCCAGAGAATCAATACAAGTGTGTAAATTACAATAACACACACATGGCCATGAAGTCATTAAGGTGGACAAAATTTTTAAAATAGTTGTAAAATACTTTCTAAATGTTTACAGAATTGTCCGATGTTGAACAGGAAATGATGGGGCTTAGCTACATACCCAGACAACCTAACGATCGTTGAATCCAAAAACCGCACACTTTTTTATGGTTGTTGTATCCGAAAACTGCAGACTTTATTAATTTATAATTTTTTCTCAAATATAAGAATATATTTTTTAATGTAAAATGCATTATTTATTATTTATTAATATTAATTCAATTTAAATATAAGAATTAAAATAAAATTACTGACAATTTAATTTACTAATTAGAATAATGAAATATTTTTTTACTTTTTTCAATATCGATTTAATCTTTTTAGCATGTACAAATTATTTTGAATGGTGAGAATACCACAATTTAAAATAAAAGTAAGGGCTTCTTCTAAACTTTTTGATAAACTTGATAAAAGTTTGTAATATTTATAATATGGTCTGTAGATTAGAAAAAGTAAAGTAATTCAACCTACACTAAGTATGCGGTATTTTAATATGTAATAAACCTATAAATTGTTCATGGTTTTGTCCTACGGCCTTTTCGAAATCAAATTTATAAAGTTACTGTTTTTGGATATAGCCAAATCGAACGTATTTAGATAGCCAAATAGGTATACATGTATGAAAGGCTGTATTTAGGTTTGGTGGCCCAATAGAAAATCATTACAATCCGGCAAAATTATCGATTACTCGATTCATCGGTTTCCGAAAATGTTGATTCTATTTTGAGCTACTGTAGGCCATGAGAAATTGTTTTTAAATTATTGTTCATAAATATGTGAAAAAGCTTAAAAATACCGGGAGTGGTAAACTGAGTCCCAAAGAGTTGAGTGGATATTAAGGCTAGGTAAATTGAGTCAGGAAAACTGTAACGTGCTAGTTAAATTGAGTCCCAAGTAATAATATTTTTCGAAAAAATAATTTATAAATAACGACGATAACTTAAAAATAAAAAGTCTCGGCATTCAATGAGTACTGTATAGTGACTATAATCACCAATTAGTGATTATCGATTACCGATTTGCCGATAGTGTTTGGAAACACCTTATGAGCACTAAAATTATCACATTATATTATCCGTTTATCGAGACAATTTTCATAGTTGACGGATATAACAGAAAATGTGCTTTTTGGCAACTAATTCGGGACTCAGTTTACCTATACCCTTTTCAGACCTGGGACTCAGTTTACCACAACTATTTTACTTCGGACTCAATTTACCTAGCCCCAAAAATACTCGTATAACCCATAGGTTCCTCATAAGTTATTTTAATAACAGTTCAAAATTATTAAAGATATATATATATGTACTAGCATGATTACTTTAACCAAGCATTTAAAGTTCAATGTTTGACAAAATTCATCATAATTCAGAAAATTTGGAAATTATTTTTCAGTTAGGTATTTATAAAACAATTCAAAAGTTAAGTGGAAAGTAACGCTATTTACAGACTTATAGCTATGAGATTTTTTCGAATTTTCTTATTTTTTGTTTTTGTTATTATATTTTAAATTCTGAGCGGAGCGATGAATGTATTGATTTTACAATGATGTATGTTTTTTTAATTTTTTGTTTTTGTGTGTCATCACGTTTTGGAACAGTAAAAGTGCTTCAATTTTCTTCAACAGCGTCTTTATCGGTAAATAAGGAATCTAGTTGGTACTTTGGGGGGGGGGGGAGGAGTCAACAGTTAAAAATCCCTAAAAGTTTTCAAAAGCGGAAGGAATAAGACACAAAAAGTTAGGAAAAATGGAAATTTTTACTGAAACTCGGTTTTTACCAAAATCGATTTAAGTTTTTGATGCAACTCTAAAAAAAATATCTTAGACACATGAAATTATCACTAAATGTTTTTATCCTCGTTTTTTTTACACAATACAATTTTCAAAATATTTTGAATTGTGCTGAACTATAAGTACTATAAGCAGGTTATTCTGTAACCAAAGTAAGAATATATAAACATAATTTCGTTTTAGTTGTTTTATATGTTCAAATGTGGACGACATTACATATTCAATAACCTAGAATAATGATTTAAATTATTTTGTTGTAATTTAAAAATATTATTCTTGGGTACTTGAATACTAAATGTATTTTTTTTTTTTTGACAAAAATGAATTAAATCTTCTTAAGTACTAATGCTGAATAGTAAAATAAATAACTTAAAACGCAATCATATCATCAAATATACTAAATTACTAAGTAACATTATAGACTGACAGACCGTCTTCGCCTAGAATCGTTTTTCGTACACAATGATCTTACATCATTGAATTCAAATTTAACATCATCCATTACAGTGACCCACTTGTAACCTACTGTACAGCAGAGTGATATCCACTTACCCGCTTTTTGTTATTATTATTTGTGATCTATAATGTATAGACGTTTATTACATTTTCTGAAAATATAATTTTTTTAATTAGAGTTCCATCCGATTTGCATAAAGTCTTCATTTTTCAAATAATTGGTTGGATGTAGCTAAAAACTGTGTTCAAATAATTAAATAGATTTAAAATAGTAATTAGGTTCCTACACACTTAAATATTTTTTAATATGTTTTAAATAAAATAAATATTTTTTTTTGCATATGTTAAACATTTTTTTCACCTATTTTCTATACAATAATATATGCATACATACATGTTACATAATATACGTTAAGTAAATAATTGATTATATTAATTTGTGATAATTAATTACAATACACTATTAATTATTAAGGGGATTGCAAACGGACAATTTTTAAGGGGTTTAGTTTAGGCAACATTATAGGTGTTTACGGCCGAAACGTACTGGTGTGTGAGTAGTAAATGATCATTTAGTTTATCTATACTCCCTACCAATCACCCGAATTCAGATATCATTTATAAATAGATTTTAAATATTATAGGTCCTTACGCAACCGTTTTAATTCCTTAACGTGATAAAATGTTATAGTAATAACCTTTTTTTTTTTTTTTTATTATGGTATCGAGGACTGGAGGAGGAACTATGGTGCCAGTACTTCTCCTTCAGCCCCCATCGTGTATTGTCAAAAACAAAAACATACAACAATTAACAACGGCGGGCCAATCCCCCACTCGCTGCTATTACAAACAAAATTTTTCTATATGTATAATAAAACGGCCCTCCCTAATTTTATTGTCTTAAGCTATAAATCAATTTTCGGCTAACAATTTTCTATGCTGAATTTCGTCGGTTCACAGCCTGTCGCACTCGCTCTTCTTCTTCTTTGACTGAAAGGATGTTTTCCACCATGCCGTAGAACAGCCTGAACCGCTCTTCGGCTTCTCTATTATAGTAATAACCTAGTACATTTATATTTATATTTAAATTTTCATTATATTTTAACCTAGTACATTTAAGCCATAGATTGTACCTAACCATAGAATTTATCCTAAAATAAAAACAATTTTAGTAGGTACTAGCAAAGGTGAGGATATTATCATATTAAGAAAAAAATGTCATTTATAAAATATGATTCTTATTAGCCATAATACATTTCTTAAAAGTTGTAAATCACTACGTGTAGTATGTACCTCTGTGCATAAGTAAACAAACTTTTAAATATGTAGAACAATTATAAAATAATTTATTACAAGGTGGTAACATGTGTTAGTTAGATAATATATTTTTAATTATAAGCATATTTGTTAATATTATAAAATTAAGTATTTTTGTTAATTAACATATTATACCCTTCAATAAATTTATCTTCAAGGTCTTATTCCCAAAGGCTAAAATGTAAAAATCTACATTTTCTAATGCCGTAAATTGTGATTAACTAAACATATTATATCTACATAGGATTGTAATTTACATTTAAGCTTGATGGTTAATATGTCCCTTAAATGTAATAATAATAGTAATTATTATTAAAAATTGATATAGGTAATACACAGGAAGGATAAAATCATAATATTGTACCTACCTATTACAATATGTACATATTTATGCACAATGTATCAACTAGCTATAATGCATTAATCGCCATTCAAAATAAACGTAACGCGATGGTTGAAGGACAAGATTTGTTAGATCTTAAATATTTTAAATTAGATACCTACTTAATTATAATGTTTATTATAAATAAAATACATTTAGTATACATCTAAACAATTTAAATAGAATTGGAATTTGTATAGATGAAGACGTCACGTAAAAAATTTCAAACCGTCAATCTAAAAAGGCATTAAAAACTATACACCTAATCGTGAATATTATTATATAAATATTTTATCTGTATAATAAAAATCTTCATTTGTAAAAAATATATATTAAGAGTATAAAATACGAGTACATTAAAATTTTATGGCTAAAAATTCACAAATAATTATGCAATATATTTATAGCATATTGAGTCCACTAGTTGTTTCTATTATACAATACATCCAAATACATCAATGTATATCATTGATGTGTATTTTAGAGTGGTAGAGCGTAGTTTGGATTTTTCGTCAGTGAAACGTGTGAAATGATTGCGAATTTACGATTGCGGACGTTTT